AACAGTTATTTTAACAGGAGACTGTAAGGCTTAAGACAAAAAGAATTCTACGCAAATACTGCATTCGTTACTCAGAAGACTGTGGGTTAGCAATTCTCAAATTACTTTATGCCTACACTAGGGTTGGACAGAACAGTAAATACGGTGTCGGTCATGAGAACCAGGCTTCCCACCGGCAGAGGACGAAGGTACAGATAGGGAAAGCAGAAAGGCTGGAGTAAACCCTGTGGTGCTGGGTTGGAATCGGGGCTATCGGTACAAACGCTCATGTTCTTTTAAATATGTATACAGTTCAATAGATAAAGAAATAAAAATATATGTGTATATACTTGCCTTATTATACATACATATATTTCCTAGCTCGGCCTGCTGAGAAGGCCTAGAAGCCATGACACCCCAAAAACAATGAGCCCACCTAGTGCCCAGATGTTGGTCTTTAAATACTATGATCCTTTAAAGGGCACCGGGGCTCCTTGAGAAGTGGCTGAGCCAGCTGAGAGAGCAGAGACATGAAGTATCTTGTGATTTCAGAAGGTAAGAAAGTGCCCAAAAAAGATGAAGGCACAGGATTCAAGGAACACAGGACCCAACCTGCAAGCGCTTCCAATGGCCAAAGCTGGAACAATCTGAGGTACAATAAAAATGATAATGTAATTAGATTATAGCCCATAGAATAAAATAAATACCCATGAGTTCATACTAATATAAACACATGAATGAATGAATGAATGAATGAATGAGGGGGAAAGGGGCAGCTCTTCCTTACGGAAGAATTCCAATTAACAACTGTAGAAGAAATGAGGAAAATACAGACTCGCCATTACAACGCCACAGAAATCATTGTTGTAGGCAAGATTCTCCAGCAGATGCCACAATTAATGGGCAGAAATTTGAGAAGAAACAGGACACTTATACAATCTAACAGTATCTCCCTCAAGATATTTATTAACTAAAAAAGGAAAAACAGTAACTTTACAGCAGAGAAACCCAGCCCCTTAGTCTAGCAATCAAGGTAAACATCACCACTTCTAGGAAAGTATCCACATCATGAATCCCTTGGTCTGATGCCCTGAGAAGTGTATATCACTTCTATGGTGTCCTTGCTAAAAATTCATGAGAAATCAACAGGCAAACCCAAGTGGGGGGATATTCTACAAAATAACTGACTGACTGGTATTTTTTTTTTCCAAGAGTGACAAAATCATGAACAACAAGGAAGGACTGAGGAATTGTCACAGATTGGAGGAAACTAAGGAGAAATAATTAAATGCAATGTGGGATCCTGGGAAGGGGGCATTAGTGAAAAAACTGGCAAACTCCTTATAAACCCATAGTTTATTTAATAGTATTAATTTCTTGGTTTTGATCACTGTACTATAATTATATAAGATGTAAACATTAGGGAAAGTTGGGTGAGGGGTATATGAAAATCCTCTGTACTATTTTTACTTTTCTGTAAGTCTAAAATTACTGCAAAATAAAAGTGTTTTTTTTTTTAAGTACATACTATGGGGCGCCTGGCTGCTCAGTCAGAAGAACATGTGACCCTTGATCTCAGGGTTGTGAGTCTCAAGCCCCATGTGGGGTATAGAGAGTACATATAAATAAATTAAAAAAAAATAACTTTGGGGGTGCCTGGGTGGCTCAGTAGTTAAGTGCCTGACTCTTGATTTCAGCTCAAGTCATGATGTCAGGGTCCTGAGATCCAGCCCCAGATGGAGCCTTGCGTGGGACTCTGTGCTGGGCATGGAGCCTGCTTAAGATTCTCTCTTGCCCTCTCCCTCTGCCCCCCCCCCAAAATAAATAAAAATAAAAAACTTAAAAAAAATACATACTATGTTAAAATGTCATTTTACATCCTCAGCTGACCTATCATAGCTAACTTCTAAGGTTTATTCAGTAATCACGTGGACTTACGGATGTAAGTTCCACCAGCGCTCAATCCTAATGGTGAATTCTGAGTTGGTGCCTGGGCCAGCTGCCTGGCCAATTCTCCTTGCTCATTTTTCTACATTGGTCAGTAGGTTTGGCTAGAATTCCAAGGCCTTGGGCTTTGCTGGACTAGAAAAAGTTAGAGGAAAGGGAAGCAAATAGCCCCCGGGATGGAACCGGCTTTCCTGTGTGCCTCTTTTTAAAAAAGTTTTTAAGGGGCACCTGGGTGGCTCAGTCGTTAAGCGTCTGCCTTTGGCTCAGGTCATGATCCCAGGGCCCTGGGATCGAGCCCCAAATGGGACTCCCTGCTCCCTGGGCAATCTGCTTCTCCCTCTGCCCCTCGCCCTGCTTGTGCTCTCTCTCTCTCGAATAAATAAAATATTTTAAAAGTAAATAAAAATTTTTTAAAGATTTATTTATTTATTTTAGAGAGAGAAAGAGAAAAAGCTCACGTGAGCAGGGGGCGGGGCAGAGGCAGAGGGAGACAAGCAGACTCCCCGCTGAGCCAGGAGCCCAACACGGGGCTATGGGGCTCGATTCCCAGGACACTGAGATCCCTTCCTGAGCCGAAAGCACAAGTCAGACGCTCAACTCACTGCGCCACCCAGGAGCCCCATTCCTGTGCATGTCTAGGCTGCTTTCAGCTCCCGCTCTGCAGAGCTCCAACCTCCAAGGAAGTTACTCTTTCCTTGTGTCCGAAAGATTGCAAAAGGATCTAGTCTTGGTTGTAACTATACCATCTGTTCGTGCCCTCGGAATTGTAAGACCGATCCCCACGTTTACAGATCTGTGCTTACACATCACATGTGCGGGGCAATAACGACAGGCTGCCAGGCAGTTGCAAGATTCTTCATGTTCAGAAGCTCCTCCATGTAGAAGCAGGTCAGGTCCTGAAAGGCTGTTCTGACCGCACTTTGTCATCCCAGTTACCTAGGAGGGGTTTCCACCGGCAGCCCTCAGATTGATGTCCATCAAACCAGGAGTGTTTTAAACTCAAGCCCATGCTCCTCCTCCTCACTGATATATGTTGTCTCGGGCGTGTTTCCCCCGATAAATTTGGGTCTTTTTTCTGCACTGAAAACACATTGAGAGAGAGAGTATCTGCAAATATTGTAAGACTCTCTTTAACTTCATCTCCACCAGCCCGCTGTACTTTGAAGTCAGGCCCACTCAAAGGGGGCCTTGTACAGAGGAAACATCCATGGCCTCCAGCACGCACGCCATCACTCCAACCTCTGTGTCTTCAAACTCCTGGCATGCTCCTGACAGAGGCTGGTAGACTCTTTGTTGATGTGAGCCTCCGAGCTGTGACACTCCGAACCCTTTCGTTTCTGTCTATTGCTTGTCCTATCTCTTGCTGATTATTGACCAAAGAAGCAAGGCAGCTTTTATATATTATACAATTACCCTTTGTCCTTTCGAACCTTCTCTAACGTTGACTCAGTTCATACACAAGGGCAACATTCATGATTTTTCACTGATTTCCTTTTTTTTTAATTATCTCGTTTGGAATTGAATATATATGTATATATATTAGTAATTATAGTATGTATTAGTATATATTATTATATTTTATATATAGTATACATTATTATATATATATTAGTATATATTAGTAAATCCTTGCATGGACAAGATGGGGTTAAAAATGTTTGCAAAACACCTCAAGCTCAGCATGAGCTGAGCAAGCACATTGTAGACCAAGAGGCTTATGGCCACGAATCCTGATAGGGTGGTGAGCAGAACTTTCTCAGGATAACAGAGCTTTGTTGATAACCATGGACGATCTCAAGGAGAGAGCATCTGCATTTCCCATAAAGAGCAAGAAGGATGTTCTTGGGGTTGTGAGTTCAAGCCCCATGTTGGGCGTGGAGCCTACTTAAAATAAAAAAATAAGGGCGCCTGGGTGGCTCAGTTGGTTAAGCAACTGCCTTCAGCTCAGGTCATGATCCTGGAGTCCCTGGATCGAGTCCCGCATCGGGTTCCCTGCTTGGCAGGGAGTCTGCTTCGTCCTCTGACCCTATCCCCTCTCATGTGTTCTCTCTCTCTCTCTCTCAAATAAATAAATAAAATCTTTAAAAAAAAAATAATAAATAAATAAATTAATTAAATTTAAAAAAAAAAGAGCAAGAAGGAGACTCTAAAGTTGCTACTTGGTACACTGTTTCCAGAATCAACCAAGCAGGAGGTTGACACAATTATCTGGAGAATCTGGGCAGAGACATACTTACCTACATTAAAACAAAACAATCATCATCATCATCAAAGATTGGTCCAGAAATTTAAAAGTGGGTTACATGGGTTAAGTACTTACTATGCATCAAGCACATGCATTATCTCACGGAATTCTTTAAACAACTCTACGATATGGATATTCTCATTCCCATATTGCAAATAAGGAAACCGAGACACGGGTAGGTAAAGTCACTTATCCAAAGTCCCACTGCTAATTAAGAGCAAAGCTGGGATTCAAACCAGGGTCACCAGAAACAGATTCTGCATTCACAGAACTCTTTTTTTTTTTTTTTAAGATTTTATTTATTTATTTGAGAGAGAGAGAATGAGAAAGAGAGCACATGAGAGGGGAGAGGGTCAGAGGGAGAAGCAGACTCCCTGCTGAGCAGGGAGCCCAATGCGGGACTCGATCCAGGGACTCCAAGATCATGACCTGAGCCGAAGGCAGTCGCTTAACCAACTGAGCCACCCAGGCGCCCTCTGACCACAGAACTCTTAACTACCCAGGTAACCACCTCAACGTCAGTTAGGCTAATTGACTGGAGAAATGAGCGCGCTTCTATCCTCAAAGGTTTTACCTTTTCCCTCACAATAGTCTCATGCAGGAGGGCTGGTGCTGTGAGCCCTGTGTCTATCTTAGAACATTCCCACTGTGAGTCACCGCCCCATGAGAGCCAAAAGCCACTCTGTCCCCTGCCCCCACACCTTAAGAATCAACACAACTGGAAGCTGTTGGTGGCCATCTGTTGACAGGGCTCAAGAAGTGGCTCTCAACCAGGGGCAATGTTGCCCCCTCCCCAGGGACATTTGGCAATGTGTGAAGATATTATTGATTACCACAGCTGGGGGGGGGGTCGTTAGCGTTCCATAGCAGCCAAGGACGCTGCTAAACATCCTACAAGACACGAGCCAGCTCCCCCCACACCCCCACCCCCAGCCCACCCAGCTCCAATCCAGCTCCAGATGTCAGTGGTGTAGAAGGGGAGAGACCCCGAGCTAAAGGAGTCCGTAATGCTTTGGAGCCCCGGTCCCCAGCCTGGCCTGGGAGGAAAAAAATCACTGCTACCGCAGTCAGGAAACTGGATCAGATGGGTTCTCTCATCTGCAGGGGAGATGCTACCGCTTGCTTTTCCATCCAGCTAATTAGTGCACTTGCGGATTGTCTGAACTGACAGCCTCCTTTCCCCCATAAACAGCACGTTGGCAAGCCACTCCAAATTCAAAATACTGTCCTGACAAGCTAGGCAAGTGATTCAACAAGGTGACTCTTTTGGATGGGCAGCGTAAGGGCGGGTGGCACATTTCAGGGGCAAATCCCTAGAACATCAGCATCAGAGGGGAAGAGAGGAACTTTAAAGCTGGTCAAGGAATCCCGTTGGCTCCACTCCCTAATTATTTTAGCAGGCAGTGAGATCATGCTCTGCAAGAACGGACGCAAAGAAAGGGGAGCTATAACCGGATACTGCTGCAAATAAAGTCAGCTCCACCAGAGAAACTAAAACAAGACGTGTGCTGCATTCACTTCATGAAAAGTTTAAGGTCGGAGTTCCGTCACGAAAGAACCAGCCTGGGGAGTCAGCCAGCCCCGGTTCCGAGGTGCTGCTTGGAAATGCTGTCGCCAAGTGACTGCAGGCAGAAAGCCCTCTCCCTGTGCCTCCATGTCTCATCTGCAGAGCAGGACTCGTCGCAGCCACTCCACAGGGTCGTCCCGGGAAGTACAGGGTGTGATGCGTGTGACAAAAGCACTCGGTAGGGCTGGGCACGGAAAACACGCGGAATAAACATACATGGAATAAACATACACGGAATAAATGCCCTGGCCCAGCTCCTCCCCTCCTCCCTTCCCTCGCACGTGTGGAGAGGGCGATCGGTTTTCCCTGAGAGGCTGGTTGGGTGAAGGCAACGGGCGAGGGGCTGAGTCAGAGCCCAACAGAGGCTTTTTATTAATGGAATTTACTTTGACAAATCATGCCCACGAGATGTCCAGATAAGCAAGCTTGCCTCACACAAGAGGATCTTTGCTTCTGGGACCCAGAAAATGACTCCCTGAGATGTACGTATGATGCACCCAGGGTCACCAGAAACAGATTTACCTCGAAGCTGATGAAAAGGAATCTCCAAGCCTCTCACCCACGCAGGAGCCCCAGCAACACATTCATGGCCATTTGCTTTTGTAAACTTGGCGGTGGTAAGATACTCTGACCTTGATTGCTTTGATTGCTTAAGATCGCTGCCTCTTTCTACTCTGACTTCCTTTGGGCCACATTTCCCATCCTTTTGGATGACTTTGGAGCAGCCATGGGCATTTTTGGGATCTGGCTAAAAGGAACTGGAATCAGAGATACCTTTACTTTAGGTTAAGAGATTTTTATAAATTTATAAACCATATGGACAGTTTAGTTACTGCCGGCTGTTCTCAAGTAGGGAAGGTTTCCAGCAATATTGCTATGGCCCACTGGGCTGACCCACCCGGCGTGGAGATGCAAAGGCTCGGATCCAGAGGTCATATCGCAGTATGAGGGTGTCCTGCAGTGTCTGGCACGGGAGGTAGTGTGGGCCGGCGGAGGAAAATCAAGATGTGGGACAGACAGAGCCAGAACAGACTCATCAGAAGCTGGCCTGGAAAAATGTTTCCAACCATCAAGCTTGTACAACTATAGGCACATTTAAAATTGATAACTGGTCAGGATGAAATTTGAGACCGACTAAGAAACATGCCCCCCAAAAGAGAGGACAAAAAGGATATCAGAGATGTGGTAAGCGAATAATACATATTTTTCTGAATTTGGGGATACTTTAATACCTAATTTTGTACATGTAATTTTATATCCTCTTCAAAAGGGCCTCTTGGATTGTTAAGCTTCAGGCCCTACAAAACCTGGGCCCATCCCTTAAAGTCACATACTTTTATCTTTTTCAAGAGGGTAGAGTGGGGGAAAAGGTGAGAACAGAGACAACTGAACTCCCTAACAAACTAAATTTCCTGAAATTATATTTCAGACAGTGAACCTGGAAAACTGGAAATTCCTTACATATCTGTTCTTTCTGAAAAGATTGAAATGAAGTAAGTATATAAGTCTCCACACTATATTGGTGGATTCTCTCGCCAGGCTGAGTCCATATTGCATGGTGTTTTGGGGAAAGTACTTTTTTTAATCATGTGAAATAAAACACACCTAGCTTAAAAAAAAAAAAAAAGCCAGTTTCTGCCAGTCTTTTATCTGTACTTTATCCATCCCTACCCTCCAGCAAGAGATTCTAAACTCTATTCACGCTCACTGTGGTCGCTTCTACACCCAAATCAAACAAACTCCGCCGGCTAATTACTTTTTGAAAGCACAAAGGAACGCAATACAAGTTGGAGAAAGTGAAAGAACTTCTTTCTAAATTCAAACGACTGAACAAGGAAACATTCAGGTAGGCAGAGCCCTTGCAGTTCTGTTCTTACCACAGGAAGACTTAAAGGAACCACATTCTGGAGGCTGGTTTTCATTTTAATGAAAACGCCAGAAGCGCCCACAAGCTCCCCCTGCCCTTGCCCACCCCACACCCCCTACCCGAACTCCGCCGACCCCTAGAAGGCACGAAGTTCACAAAGGGGAGCAAATGGAGCCTTCTGCTCATTTCAGAACCGTGTCCTCCATTACGCAAATGCCCGGGCCCCGCGCCCAGTCTGCCCGCCCCTCCCTCCGCGCGCCGCCCGGGATGCTCGGCCCCGCGGCTCCTCCGGGTTGGGGACAGGGGCTGACCCCGGGCAAGTTTGTCCAGTGGGAGCCGCACAACACCGGGGAGGACTTGGTGCCTCTTTCCCTTTCCTTGGAAAGCCCTTAGCACGCTCCAGACACCCCACCCACCATGTATACCTTCTCTTCTAGGGCTGCTGCTTTTACAAAAACAGAGCTCGGGTCTTTAAAACCTGCATTTTCTCCCTGGGAGTAAGCATTGGTTAATGACTGCCAGCCGGTCTCTGGGTCTCGGCACCATGTGACCGGGCCACGTGACTTGGAGCCGGCTGTGGTTGTTCCTTGTATTTGAATAAAAAAGATCAAGCTTATTATTGCACTAAAAGCCTGCGGATCTCGTCAGTGCAACGTGATTCTCAGGCGGGTTACACAACACGCTGCAGCCCTGGGCTCCGGCTTCCAGCGCCCAGCCCGCCTGCCTTCCTGCCTGCCTGCCTCCGCCCGACGCGAGGAGCTGTTTTCTAAGGGACATAAAGCAAACATGGTTTTATGTTTTCCAAAGTGAGAGTCCATTTTCCCCTCGGAAAATGTGTGATGATCTTGAAAAATGAAGAGACCCAATTTCTCCGAGCCTTCTTATTAGGATCAGGTTAGGAGCCCTACTGCACGCACACAAATACAGGAAAAAAACAGGAGATCCACTCCTCTTTGCAACTGAAGATTCAGGATCGATTTGACCTTTGACTATTTCCCTGTCTCTCGTCTGATCTCCTGGAAAGTCTTCAAAATATACTCCTACTTATAAAAAAATGTAAACTAAAAGTGACATTTTTAAAATTTAAAATGTAAATGGCATGTTCATTTTGTGTCCCCCCCCAAGATTTCTAGAACACTGGCAGTTAAATTTTGATTCAGCACATCCTGCAAAGGAGAAAGCAGGGGGATTAGTCTGTTTATAGGTGGGAAGAGCTGGGTGTCCCTTTGCAGGTTAGGGTGTAGGTGGGCACAGCTATGCAAATATACGCAAATTTGCCTCAAAGGGGACCCCCCCTTCCCATACCCAGAAAGTGACAGCCTTACCTAGCACATTGTAATACTCTCCCCCACTCCCCCCACCCCCCCGAAGGCCATAGAAGGCCTGCAATATTTTGCTTCCTCCTGTGTCTAAGGGTAGTGATGACTCAGGTACAGAAGGACCGGAGGGAATAATAACACTGGTTATCTCCAGTCCAAGGCCTTCTCTGAATGGAACTGCAAAGCGCTTCTCCGTGGCAGCTCCTTCTCCAGCAGTGTCTGTCTCTAGAACAGGAGGCCGGCCCATTCTCCAGCCCAGGCCAGATTTCAGCTGTGGATTCATTCATTCTACGAATACTGAGTGCCTCCCGGGCCTGGCACTGTTCCAGGTGCCGAGGAAGCAGCCGTGAACAAGGCAGCTGGATCCCGGGCTGCCGCGGGGCCTCACTCCAGTGAGGGAGAGTCATCTCCAAGGGGCCGAGCCCAGGAGGCCTGGCCTGGCCAGGAGGCGGGGCTGGGGGGCACAGCCCGTGGAACTCCCTTCTGCCTTCCAGCCATCACTCAGAGGACAGGGCCACTGAAGATTAATTAATTTTACCAGCTGATGCTTTGGAAACAGAGGAAAATCTTTGCGGGCAGATACAGGTGTGACCTTGTTTCTGAGACACCTTCCAGTGAGCCTGGAGGAATCCTTGCTCCCCGTTTCTGATCCTACACGGACAAGAGGCTTTGTGTAGACGGTTCCCTGCTGCCAGCAGCATGGCCAAAAATACAGCAGAGCTACTCGGGAGTGATCCCTCCTTGAGCTGTGACCGAGTCACTGCCAGAGTTCCGGCTGGAGCATCAGTACCTTCTGCTTCCCTGTTTCTCCACAGCACCCCGCCTCCTTCCGAGGACACCACAGCAGCTCGGGCAGGAGCTCCCCGAAAGGCCAGCCTGTCCACAGTGCCAGAGGGGTGAGATCCAGCCTTGGGCAGCCTTCCCAAGGACAGGACACCAATTCTGTTCTTCGATGACAGCCCAGTATGGGGCCTTCCCTCTTTCGACAAGCCCTGATGTGGATCAGAGAGTGAAAGTGTGTTCTAGAAATGGCCAAGCTTTTGACATCCTGAATAAGACCTGACCAGGGGACGAGAAGGGAGAGACAGAGGGAAAGAATGGAGCCATCACGTTCTTCCTGAAATCTTGATTGGATTTCGATGAACCAGTCCTTCAGTGGAGAGTCTCTCTATGGAACTCCATCCCACACCAAGGGAAAGGGAACACGGCAAGTTGAAACAAGAGTCAGAAACGCAGGCACAATGGTCTGGTCGCTGAGGATGGTCCTTTATACCAGGGCCTCACAGAAGGTCCTTGATAATCCACGTGTGATAAGCAGGATATTAGACCCTCTCCAGCCCAACCGCCACCACCCCTGACCTGTGCAAGTGGAAGGAGGGCCAGCTCAAGCTGGAGAAAGGAAGGGCATGGGCACAGGCTCTGGCCCTAGAACTCAAGGTATTTTGAACCAAATTTCTTCTCTTAGCCAATCTCAGTAATACTTCCCATAGTCCCTCGTTTTCCTGAGAGGAAGAGTAATTGCCATCTTCCTTCTGCAGGTGGGGAACCTAAGCAGAGGCATGCTAACACCCCCCAGCACTAAAAAGTCAAAGATACGGGACACGGGGATCAAAGATAAAGTTCACGTCTTCTCCAGGTTCGCCTCCTATGAGGATCTGCACTACCGTGATCATCAGAATGGTGCAGGCTCTACAGAGAACAATATGGCGGTTCCTCAAAAAATTAAACATAGAATTGCCATGTGATCCAGCAATTCCACTTCTGGGTCTATAGCCACAAGAATTGAAAGCAGGGACTCAAACAGATAGCTGTACACCCATGTTCATAGTGGCATTATTCATAATTGCCAAAAGGTGGAAACAACCCAAGTGTCCATGGATGAATGGATAAACAAAATGTGCTGTACACATACACTGGAATATTATTCGGCTTTAAAAAGGAAGGAAGTTCTGACTCATACTACAACACGGGTGAACCTTGAGGACATGATACTAAGTGAAATAAGCCCATCCCAAAATGACAAATACTGTATAATTCCAGTTACATGAGGTACCTAGAGGCACCAAATTCATAGAGGCAGAAAATAGAATGGTGGTTGTCAGGGGCTGGGTAGAGGGGAGAATGGTGAGTTAGTGTTCAAGGGGGACAGAGTTTCAGTTTGGGAAGAGGAAAAAATTCTGGAGATGGATGGTGGTGATTCACAACACAGAAGTGGAGTTAATGCAACGGAAGTGTATGCTTTCAAATGTTCTGATGTTAAATTTGATGGGGTGTATATTTTACCAAAATAAGAAAATTTCAAGGGTCCAGTATCACCTGCACATTTTTAGAGCTTCAGGTAATCTCAAAAATCTTTGCCCTGTGTATTGTGCCCTGTGGATCAGCAGGAGCTCTAGGAATTACCCACCGACCCTATCCCTTCTGATGTCCAAGGAGATGAAATTATGTTGATCATCCTGCCATCTCTCCTGTCCTTTACCCTTGGTTCTGTGATGCCCATAGCTTGGAGAGGTGAGGGCTCCACCTCCATCAGACCATCCTCATCCTCCCCCAGTCCCTTCAGCCCACTGATCTGATTTGCTAGAAAGAGAATTAGTGGCATGGAAGAAGAAAGATAAAGGATTCAACTTTGTTGCCCAATCCATTTTCATTGCCTCCGATAGAAAATGTTCAAGATTTGGGATCAACTTTTTTGCCTGCACTAGTTAATTTTTTTCTCGCCTATTAATAGATTTTGCAGGTCATAGGACATACCTGATGGAGTGTTAGCAAAATAGTTGGGCTTTGAGGGATATGAGGGAAGAAGAGTGGGAGGAGAACATGCGAGGAGAGATTATAAACACCAAGTTTTAAATGTTCTCTGCCCTAGCTTTATGATTTAACATACAGTAGAATAGTGCATGTTCCTGGAAACCACAAAGAATATTCTATTCTTAAAATAAAAACAAAAACAAAGAAGAATATTCTATTCTTATATAAAGCTTGTACTTCATAATTCTAAGTTTGAAACAAGGTCCATTGAATTTCTAGAAAAGAAGGATAATCATCACTGGGAAAAGGCCCCAGGCCTCCTTGGAAGAAGTAAAGCTGGTGGTTAGGATGGCCTCAAATTGTTGTCTACATTAAAACTGCTGACAGTCGCCACGGATGATCCATAAACACAAAAACAGGTCCATATAGGGAACTTCTGTTGCAGCTCTCAGCAGACTTGGCCCCTGCATCCGCCTTCATCAGGTCAGACCCATCCTGAGCCCGTGATGAAGAACCTTAAGTATGCTGAAAACTCTTTAGGAAAAAGGTATGGATGACAAGGCCATAAATCAAGATACTGCCTGAGCTCTCACAGACCTGGTCCCTTGGTAATCATGCTACATGGAAGAGTGCTTACTTAGCTCCATGCTTGGCACTTAACAAATGTTCACTTTATTGGGTGGCATTATTATTGTTACTATTGTTATTCTGGATGTCCAACAGACACAGCAATCACATTTTTCAAGTCCCAAATTAAGAACTTCCGGTATAAGATTTGTACAGCAAGATAGATTATTTCAATCCAAGGCCATCTGGAAAATTCCAGGCTGCGTGTAGCCAGTCTCATGGGCTCCCCATTGACAGACCACTCCAGCTAAACTATGAAATCTGCCCAAGTTGCCATACCTTTTGGGATCTACAAATGGAGTTCAACCAAATACAGATCCTTGTTGTTGCCTTCAATTCAATTCACGAAAACACTTCGAGCACCTTACTGTAAAATATTGATTGAGGTGAGTGCCATGGGGAATAAACAAATAAAAGAGATGGCCCAGTCCTCCCAGAAGCTCAGGGACATGAGCGGATGGGAAGGGCTGCCCTTGTGCTGAGCATGGGAGACTCAAGGGAGCTCTGATTCACTATTTCTAAAATTTTGTAATTGAAATATAATTGACATATGATACTAGTTTCAGATGTACAAATATGATTCGACAATTATATACATCGTGAAATGCTCACCATGATAAGTATAGTTACCACCTATCTCCATACAAAGTTATTACAATATTATTGACTATATCCCCTATGCTGTACCTTCCATACCCATGACTTATTTACTTTGTAATTGGAATTTTGTACCTCTTAATCCCCTTCATCTATGTGGCCTATTCCACACCCCCACCCACCCTTCCCCTCTGGCAACTGCCAGTTTACTCTCTACATTTATGAATCTGTTTCTGTTTGTTGTTGTTGTTGTTTTTCGTGTATTTGATCATTTGTTTTGTTTCTTAGATTCCAAATATAAGTGAAATCACAAACTCTTTGTCTTTCTCTGTCTGACTTATTTTTTTTTTCTGTCTGACTTATTTCACTTAGTATAATGCCCTCTAGCCATCCATGTTGTCATGAGTGACAAGATTTCGAGAGATGAATGGTATATCTACACAATGGTATATTACTTGGCCATAAAAAAGATCTTGTCATTCAGATTCACTGTTGGTCACTGATAATACCTGACCACTGCCTCTAAGGCTTTTGATGGCATTTTAAGGCATTTACACTTGATTAGGTCTCAGTAGGTACAGAGTGATTTCCATGCAAAACTGCAGGACAAAATGACAGAGGGAGAGCCTGGCCGAGGTCTCCAACAAGACCAAGAGAATAACCATGGTCCAAGCTCAGATTCTCAGGCTGCCCAGAAGTTTCTATTTTCCCTGCACCTATAGATCATTCAGGAGCCTTCTACATGGTCAAAATGGTCAAAGGGCTCCTATGGGAGCCTTCCTTCCTTGAACAACAGATTAGTGCTAATATGTTAGCAGAGGTTAATAGACTCCTGCTTCCATAAGCCCCTCAGGCTTTGGATTTGGCAGTGGGCTGATGGAGGCCATCTCCTTCACCTTCATGCAGAGCTGCCTCTCAAGGGAAAATTCTCTTCGTCATAGCTTCGTGTCCCGTGTAGCCACTAGCACGAGAGCATTCCCACACCCCTTCGGAAAGCAGGCGGACAGCACTGCTGGGGCCCAGAGGTAGATGTGGGAGAACCTGCAGATGGAACACCCCACAAAGCTGGTCCAGCTCAACTCATGATCCCAACGTGAGAAGTAACATCACTTCTTCAACATAGGAGACGAGAGCCTTCTTGGGTTTTTTTTCTTTACTGAAGTTCTGGCCAAGTTGAAAACCAAAGATGTAAGTACCTGCTTGGGGCTCCTTTTGACGGGACCAGAGCTGACAGAGGTGCTCACCGCATCGAAAAATGGAAAGCTTGCAGAATCTGGAGCCACCTGGCAGAGTGGTGCTGCTATGGGACAGGCTAGCTGGCTGCAGAATGGATTTGGGGCATTTCTGGCTCAGCTCATCCCAGGCCTTCTGTATTCACTAATTCATCTTCTGACTTGAATTGTTTCCCAAATAGGCTCTGTCAGATAGAAAGATTCATTCATTTATTCAACAACTATATTGATCTTGTACTATCGGCCAGAATGAATTAATAGTTCAGTGGGAAAGGGAGACAAAGCAATATGTGAGAGTCCTCCCTGTGGTGTGTGTCACAACGCAGGGAAGCCTGGGCTGTTATGGCAGCATGGAGGGGGCATCTCAATCGGAGGGTTGGGTCACTGGAAAATCATTAGATACTGAAGGAAAAAGTATAATTCTAGAGACAAGGTGAAGGAAGGCATCGCAGGATGAGGGATCCACATGAATTAAATTAATGTGTGGAGGCATGAAATTAAGATATTGAATTCCCTCTGTCTCTGTGGGTTTGGGCTGCCCAAGACGGTCATCTTGGAACCACATTACCCATCCTCGTCTTGTTTCTAAGTCTCAAAGGTGCAGCCTAGAGGAAATAGAAAACCAATCCTTGGGATTCTGAAATGTGGCCTCAACTCACCTTTTACCCCACCTGGCATAAAAAGGTGCAGGCCATCTAGTATAACTGCAGGGTAGAGAATGGCAGGTGCTAGATCTAGAAAAGAAGGTTGAGAACTAATTCTATTTTTATTTATTTATTTATTTATCTATTTATTTATTTATTTATTTTTAAGTGAGCTCTCTGCCCAACGTGGGGCTTGAACTCACAACCCTGGAGATCAAGAGTCAAATGCTCTACCAACCCAGTCAGCCAGGCAGGTTGGGGACTAATTTCGAAGGGCCTCCTCGGTAATGCCAACAGGCTGCCACATGTCTCATAAGCATAGAATTGTCTGTATGTTATCAACTTGTTCCATATTCAACTTGAGGCACAGGAGCCATATTTAAGCCAGAATAGACATTGTTGAAAGTGGTGATTTGCCAACCATTCTTATCTTTAGGATAAGTGTGGGGGAGTGAATGGGGAGGTGGCGGGGTGGGGTGGTCAGACTAGTACTAAAACCCTGCAGAAACCTTAGATGGCAGTACTTGCCCTCATCAGCTTTCAGCTACATTAATGGGAAAAATGTCTTCCTACTCTCTTCACTCTTCAAATTTACTGTTGGCTCCCTTAGGTACCTGAGGTTGGAATCCCAGATGGGGAGGTGATCTATCTTAAGCCACGTTCAAGGGAGGAATTTGCTTCTCAAGTCTCAAATCCAAGATAAATATGTCGTTCCTGCTATTCACTTAGCTTCCAAAAACAAAGCCATGAGTAAATGCTTCATGCAACGCAATGCCAGAGGTATAATTAAACTTCAAAGGGGTATCAATTGCATCATGTTCAAGAAAAGTGTAGAAAAAGAAAGGCATTACTGAAAGGCAATTTCAAACACCCCCCCCCCACATAAATTCATCTTTGGGAGAAGGAAAATAAACTGAAGTGATCTCTTGGGGCACCCAATTTGCTCAAGTAGGCCTCCCATTCAAGTTGTATTAGAAAAGGGAGTGTGTGTGCCCTCTCGTCTAGCCGTTTTCAAATCTTATCTTTATGAAAAGACACCTTCCAGGATTCCAGGTACCATCATGCCTCCTTAGCAAAAGAGGGAATGAAGGTGAAAATAGCCTGGAACATTTCAAAAACAAACCATATAATTATCACATGCTAATCGTATTCAGGTTTTTAAGATCATGTTTGTTGGGAAAAGTCAAGAGCAAGGCCCCTTGATGCCTTGTTGCAAATTCTAGCGTGTCTTTCTGCTCCATGACCTTGGGTAAAGTACCTGACCTCTTGGAGCCTCAGGATCCTCAGCTGTGATATAGAAGCACCAAGTAACACCGTGGTCAAGGAGTTGTGACAAGCCTGAAATGAGTCATTCCACAGAGAAACCTGGGACTCAGGTTGGCACATACTAAATAACCAGGGAACATGAACTCTTATTATGGTTTTGATTGTTCTGACCAGGAGCCCGGATCTCAGGCTCTGTCGGGGACACACCAGTTAGCTGCTTTGCAAAGACAGACTCTGCCCCATGAATAAAATTTCTGCTTCTCCCCTCAGCCAACACCTTCGAAATGCCTGTTTTTGAGGACCTAGGCCAGAGACTGTGGAGCAGGCAGCTCATAAAAAATCAAATTAAAGTCAGTGGCATCTTATCAAAGGCAGCACTTGTACTATGAAATAATATGGATTTTTATGGAAGAATCGTGTCAGGATAGTCTCCATTCCAAACCTACTTAAATAAAGACATGTCAAGCAGAGAAGCACCATATATCACTATTTATCATCCCCAAAGTCATACTTTGCCAAAGCTCCAGGTAACTCAAATGAGCTTGATAAAATCTTTTAAAGACAGAAATCCTAGGGAAAATAAACAAAACTTAAAAAACAAACAACAACAAAAAAACTTTACAAATGAAAGAAAGAACACCCAACCTGTTTACCACGTAGCTGCCCAGGCTTGTTTAACATTAAAATACTATTAAAAAAAAAAAAAAGCCAAATCAGATTTCACAAACTGATCAGTGCAGCTCATAAAAAGGCAATCGTTTGGTTTGTGAATTAGTTGGCAGCCTGGCTTGTGATTTTAAGTTTTGCTACCCTGAATTATTATTATAAAGCTTTAGAACATAAGGAGAGAGAGAGGGAAAGTCTTGCCCTTAGCTTGTTCTGGGCTCTCTTGTTTGCTTCAAGCGAGTCTCTACTTAATGCCTTCAGAATTTGCTCTTGCCTTGAAGCAATAGACAAGTATGTGCTGCTCTGGTCTAAATATGGGAACAGCGAGTACAAATAGAAGATTGAAAATTTGCTTTGAAGCTCAATGTTGCCAATGCAGAGCCTCTCCCAAGCGCTGCGAGCAGGCGGCAAGGCCCTGCAGAAGGAGAGCTCGGCTTTTAACCGGCTAACGTAATAATTCCGGGCGGTGTCTGGTGAGACTGAAGGTCATGAATCTGCTTTTGACCCTAGTACTAATGGCAATCCCATGGGAATCCCGAGAGTGGCTGAATGAGTGCTGTAACAGTACTAATAATTAATGATGACGATAATGCCCTAGGTTTCTCGTTTTAGTGCTTATCGCCCGAAGATTTTGAATCACTTCAAGACCAATTGTTTCTCCCACTACTGACCTGTAACTGATTCAGGCACAGAATATTGCCCTGTTGTCGAGAATACAGCCACCCCAAGCCTGTTTAAGCACGAACTAAAGAAAGACACCCACTGAAAATTAAAGTTTCAATTTTAGGTAGGCAGGTTATAATTATCCACTTGAAATGAAGCCAAGAAATGAAGTTTAATACCCTCCTTTTGTGAGAAGCAGCCAGGCAACGTTCCTAACCATAAACAGACCTCAGATTTTCATCTCCTCTAATTCAGGGTTTCTCAACTTTGGCATTATTGACATTCTGGGCTGGATAATTTTCTGTTGTGGGTAGAAGGGCTGTTTTGTGCACCATAGGTTATTTAGCACCATCCTGGGCCTCCCCCAAATGCCACACACACACACACACACACACACACACACAGTAGTGACCACTGAAAACAGCTCCAGACAATGCCAAATGTGGGGGGCGGGGGTGCAAAATCGCCCTCAGTGGGCAACCATGGCTCTAACTCAAAACATTGGAGAAGAAAGTTAGAAGCTACTGAATGACCAGAACCTTTCTCATTCCTCCAGGTTGCTTGAAAGATGCCTCATGAAGGAGGGACAGTTATCTGCCTAGGGATTTTAGGATTTCAGAGAGGCTTCAATTATAAAATAGGTCTTCGATCATAACTTTGATTACAAAACTTAGATTATGAAATTAGATCCTCCCCCCACCCCGAACAACAAAAATCCAAGAAATAACACAACCCTAGACTATCAAATGCTACCCTCCCCTGGGTAGCAGGGGATCTGTCTGTGGCACGTGGCTGTGGTAGGTGGTAACAGGATATCGCTGCGACAGCTTTAATGTCCACATTGCCTACCCACCCCTCAGACTTCCTGGGGTCAGGATGCCTCTTCTTCTGGAATCCACAGTATTCGTCAAACAGAACTGAGGCCCGCATCTACCCTTCTGCATGCACTGTGATAACCCCAGTCCCCGCCTTTGACCAGGACCTGCAGCTTCTCACCCTCCCCGACGACGCGCACGAGGCCTCCCAGGACCTCAGCTGCAGGAGGCCCCCCTCACTGCCTGGTGCATGTGCCCTCCACACCCCAGACAGTGTGGCTCTCAAACTTTTTTCACCAAGCCTCCCCAAAGTTTATGTCATGGCCCCTCCCCCGCGGAGTTCACATATACACAAATACATTGTGTTTTTAGACTGTGTTCTGAACTAATTGTGGATTTTCAGAAAAGCTGCAGAAATCCTGCAGAGGATTTCCATATATCCTTTGCTATGGTCTGGAGGCCTGGGTCTCCCCAGAATTCCTATGTTGGAAGCCTCATGCGCAAAGTGATGGTATTAGGGGGTGCGGCCTTGGGAGGTGAGTAGGTCCTGAGAAGGGAGCCTTCATGAATGGGATTCCTGCTCTTACAAAGGAGGCTGCAGATAGCTTCCTAGACCAGTCCACCCTGTGAGGACCCAGCAAGAAGACACCATCTATGACGAAGGAAGGGAGCCCTCACCAGACACAGAATCTGCCAGCACCATGATCTTGGACTTCCAACCAACAGAACTGTGAGAAATAAACTTCTGTTTATAAGCCACCCGGTCTGCGGCATTTTGTTATTGCAGCTGGAATAGAAGAAGCCATCCTCATCCAGCTTCCCCTAGTGCAATGGTCAAAGCCAGGAAACTAACACTAGTGCTCTACTAGCAACCAAAGACCCCAGTTTTCCACTAATGTCCCTTTTCTGTCCCAGGACCCCCATTCGGTGTCTCACATGGCATTTCGCCATTTCTCCTTAGTCTCCCGAATCTATGAGAGTTCATCAGTCTTTTCTTGACTTTCAGGACCTTGACACTTTTGAAGAGTATTGATCAGTTATATTGTCAAATGTCCCTCCACCGGAGTTTGTCTGATATTTTTTCAAGATTGCACTGAAGTTAGACGTTTTTAGCAAGAATGCCACACGAAATGATGTAGCCCCCCCCACAAAGTATATCTTTTTTAAACTGATGTATTGTTGACACCAAAATACATCTTACACAGAAGTTTCATGAAACTGTATCCTTGCTATATGTGAGATACACTCTGACATTTTCTGTTATTATTTTAAATGCTGGTTTTACAGCCATATTGCTTCCCAGCCCTCTAATGGGTGAGAAAACACTGCCCGAGGCCAACTGCATTGGTCGGCTTCTCCCTCCGACCAGTTCCTTCTTGAATCTCTTTCCTTTCTTTGCCTCAGTGGCACCACACTGATGGTTGTTGTTTTTTCTCCTTCCTCTCTGACCAGCTCTTCCCTGTAAGCTTTTGGACTCTCTGTCCTCCCCTGTCTGTCGGATCACAGTGAGCTGACCCCCTCTTTCATTTCTACTGCACATAGGGGACCCCATCCCTGCTCTCCTCGCCACAGCGGGCCCTAACTTGCAGATGCTGCGAGGAGTTTGGATGTGGGTACCCTGCTTTCACACCAAACTCAACAGGACCAAAATGACCTTTACTTAGTGCTCTCCCCCTCACAAACTGAATCCCCTGTCCCATATCCTGTACCTGTCAACAGTACACATTTATCCCCCCTTATTTATACACAGGGAGCTCACAGCCCCAGCACCTGGAATGCCACCCAGTTGGCTCCTTTCTTCTCTATTTCCCAATCCAGGGGTTCCCAAACTTTAGAGAACATCAGAATCACCCACAGGGCTCGTTAAAGACTGATCACTAGGGCCCACCCCCAGAGACTCTGATTCAGTAGGTCTAGGGAGGGGCCCTAAATTTGCATTGCTAAGAGGTTCCCAGGGGAGGCTGAAACTGCTCTGAGACCAGTTGCTTTCACAGATGAATTCCAGGGGTAACATGCACTTCCTGGACTGTGGAGAACCAGCAGTGGGAATATCCACATACCCTACTTAGCCTGCAGCATCTCACCTTAAGCCACTGGTTTTCACTCTGAAATGGAAAGTCCTGTTCATTCCCTTGCCTTCCAAGGACTCACATCTCCCTCATTCTGCAGGGATTCGCTCCAGACCAGCAGCCCCCAGAAGACTTTTTTACTTCTTCAGCCTTCTTGGAGTTCTTTCTTCTGGTCCTTAGTGGGCAATCAAAGTTGATGATTAGAATTTGCCAGGTTAGTCCTTCCTTTCCCACTAGCCCGTGCATAGCCTCGGCAGAGTTGAGTTGTTATTACTTATTCTCACTGCACTTTGCTCCCTTCTTTCATTGTGACTTCTAGCACATCCAGTTTTTACCTTGCATGCCCTCCCATACACACACAGAAACCACACACACACAACACACATGGACAGGCATTGGGTACACACACACACACACACACACACACGGGCAAGCACTGGGTTGGGGCTCGGCCTGGCATTGGGTACACACACACACACACATGCACACCACACACACACACACACACACGGGCAAGCACTGGGTTGGGGGTCGGCCTGGCCTGAAGCTCAGAGAGAGCCAGGACAAATGTTTCCCAGAGAGCAATCTGGCTAACCTTTGTAGGTGAACTTAAAAGAAACCTAGTGAGCGTCTGGTTGGCTCCGACGGAAGAGCATGTGACTCTTGATCTCGGGGTCGTGAGTTCAAGCCTCAAGTTGGGTCTAGAGATTACTATTAAAAATAAATAAATAACTTAAAAAAAAAAAAAAGAAGAAGCCTAGTGAGACTTTGCCCTCTCTTTCAAGGACGCGCTGATTGCAGAGGCCCGTTCTTGGACTGAATTGGCTCGGCAGCCCCGGGAACAGGTGTGGGGAGGCTGGCCGGCTGACGATGCCCAGAGGGGCCAGGGCAGGGAGACATTTGGTTGGGCTCCCCTATACGTGAACATAGGTCTGTTTTTCCAAAAATCTTTTCGAAGAAGGTCCAGAGAAGAGATCGTGTTGGGTCCCTGGAAACGGAATCAAAAAGGGGCTTACAGACGAGCCGGGTTCCGGGTTCCGGGTTCCGGATTCCGCGCGGCGCGGCCCCCTCCCCGCCCGCCGCCCAGGGCCCGGCGCCCGGCGTGCGCGTCCGAGGGGCTCTCGGGCACCCGCACCGCCGCGTGCCGCCGGCAGGTGTCTCTCTCCTGGCTCTGCAGCCCATGGTGAACTCACCAAATGGAGGCCCCGGGAGGCGGGGGCCGGTGCACGGCCGCGCCGCCCTCTGTCTCGGCCACATTTCGCCAGATCCTCACCCTGGGAACACTTGGTGGCCGCGCGGGAGCCCGAGCAGTTACCTAGCCGCGCGGCGGGGCGGGGGCCGGACACGACAAGCCTTCCCGGCCTGCGAACCCGCCCGCTGTCCTTTCTGGGGCGCTTATGGTCTGATGAGCGAGGCCGGGGGGCGGGGGGGGGGCACCCGATCACCTCTGAAAGGCCATCGGTCAGTGCGGGAGCAGGACCCTGGGAAGTTTTGTCCCATGTTTCTGCTCACCTTCCCAGAAAACGGTGGAAAAAAGGGGCTGCTGTCCTAACATCTTTTCCCTTTAGGGAAATTCAGTTTCCTAACATGTCCTGTTTTGAAAGAGGCCCATTTATTGGGTAATGTCAGAAGCCCGGTGGGTGCAAGTGGGACCAGTAGCCATCACTTTCTTTTTTAAAATTTTTTAAATGTTTATATTTTTACTTATTTAACAAATGTTTATTGACCATCGATGGGGTGCTGGGCACCGTATGGGAGATTCAGTGGTGAGCAAGGACGCAGACCCTGTGCCCTCACGACCCAGCTCATCAAAGAAATGTTTTCAGGGGACAAGAGGTACATGGTGTCCATTACTTGAGAATCCAAAACAATGTGGAGGAAGAAAACCACGCTGTCATACCAAAATATGCAAATCTGTGCCACTGGTTAGAAGGAGGTTAATGCAGACATGCATTCCTTTGGACCTTTTCACTTCATTTAATAGTAACAAAAAAACCTTTCCTGAGGGCTGACTTTGGCGCTAGGGCTGGGCTAAGTGCTGGGGATACAACGGTCCCAAGCGGCATCCCTGTCCTTCAGGAACTGCTCAGCCCCCTGTGCAGTGGGCCAGTAAAGCATAAAGAACAATCGTAGTGCATCTCCCACCCTGGGGCCCACCCTGGTTAGCTGTCTTGATTCCACTGACTTACTCTGTCAGGCACCAGAGGCTCTAGGAAAGAGAGGCCCAGCCAGCAGCCCTGGGAGGGACCCAAAAGCCAGCCTGAACAACGTAGAGTCCCATAGGAAAACCACCACCAAGTGCTGACGCCCAGGGAGGAACATCCCCAGGACGCAGGAATAGAAGCATCCCAATTTCTCACCTTGGGTCCGCTCTGGCTTCATTAACCCCATTTCTGGACAAATTCATTTCCGGGGAAGTTGCTAAGAGCCAGCGTCACACATCCATATCCCACCCTTGCCTTCTCACGAAACTAGGTTCTACAGTCTGGCTGACATTGGGAGAGAAAGAAGTTTTCACCCCTGTGTCTGCCTTTACATAGCTCAGTAGTTGTTGTTTTAAGGTGCTTAAATTACGTTTGGGCTTTTTTTGTTTGCTTTTTGAAATAAGTTTTGCAAATTTAGAATTTCAGGAACGACTTTTTCTTTTTAGGTTAACAGAACACTAGCCGTGGGGTTCCAACCTCAGACATTTACAGACAGCAGAAATCTCATCACGCAGCCAGAGGAACGGTCACAGATTCCCATGACACACTTTCAAGCTCTATCTCTGTTCTTGGCCTGCTTCAGGACTGTGGGAGTAAGTCAGAGCTGGAGATATTAACTGGAAGGCGCCTGGAGTCCCTCCACACTGATATTTTGTCCCTTTTTCCCCAAGTGAGAAACACAGAGTCCTCTGCAAGCCCTGTTATGGTTTTTTTGTTTGTTTTAATTTATAAAAATACACAGATCTCTATGCTCAGTGTTCTCTGAGCTCTGTGTTAAACATTTAGTGCTATTTTCCAAAAGAAAACTTTTGCCTCATTGAAAAAGCATCCCAAGGTCTTGTTTACTCTTTGTCTGTCTGTCCATACCAGGATAATTCCTGACTACCTAAATTGCCCTAGTAGTCACAATAGGATAATTCATTTCCTTTCTCAGCTGTTGAGTGCTAAAATCATTCTCCTTGGGACAGACGCCATGTCTTATCTAGAAAGATACTGAGAAAGCAACATTTGTGATTATTTATAAGGCTCGTGAGCACACTGGGCATGTGAATAAGAAAAATTAGGTACATTTTGATCATTCTTGGGATGCTGTCAGAGAATACAGAATGACACACAATTGGCACGAGATCTTTCTCCTCTAAATCTCACATATTCCAAACCACGTTTCAGAAAATGGGCATCGTTTCTACAAATCGAATCCCATTATCACATTCAAAACATTGAAAATGTGTTCACATAGGAAAACTATTTCAGTAGACCAAATTCAGAAATGTTTCAACAAGAAAGAGGTGGCCTAACCTGTGATGATCTCATAAAATTTGGAATAGAAAAAAAATCTTAGGTATCACTGAATTCAAGTCCCACACAATGCCTCTGACAAGTGACTTCCTCACACTTGAGGAAACATGCCCTGTGGTGGGGAGGTTCCTGGTGGCCCACCCTTTCCAGTTCTTAGAAATATTTCTTTATATTGAGCCCGAGAGTCCCAAAGCACCTTGCCTTGAGCGCCCACTCATCATTCTAGCCTGGCCATGGGGGTGGGAGAGGTCTCTTCCACAAAATAGCTCCTTCAGTGTTTGACGGAGCTCTCAGAGGCCTGCCCTACTGTGGGTTTACAGTATGGCTTTTGAGTTCATCAAAATGTGCTCATCGAGAACCTAAGGTGTATCAGGAGCAAGGGATGGATCAGAGGAGCAAACAAAACCCCAGCCCTCCTGGGACTTACATTCTATTGATGAAGACAGAAAATAAACCGTTAAGTAAATTGGTAACATAATGTTAGGTACTGATAAATATACTGGAGGAAAAGCAAGGTAAAGTGACTGGGAAATGGGAGTGTTTCTTTAGGTTGGGAGGTAAGGGAGGTCAATGAGGAAGTGACTTGAGCAAAGACGTTTGAGGGGATGAGCCATGTGAATACGTGGGCGGGGAGAGCAAAGATCCTGCAAGGATAAATGCTTGATGTTTGAGAAATATCAAGGAGGCAGGCCACGCTGAAATGGAGAAGGGGAGAGAAGTCAGAAGAGAGGGTTAAGAGGTAGCCAGGGGTCATGTGGCCTCAAAGGTCTAGGGCCACACTTTGCAGTGTTGAGAGCAGGGACATGACATCATTTCAAGAGCCTTTCCATATTAGTTGCTGTCTTCTCTACATATTCTAGCTGGTCAAAGGCTCCATAAAAGATAGTCACCCAGAATTGCCTCCAATATTCCAGGAGAGGCCTGACTTGCAGAGTAGAGTCGGACCATCCTCTCCTTTATTCTGGACATAATATTTCTATTAGTAAAATCCAAGGCCTCTCATGTAGCATTTTGAGAAGTCATTTATTTTTTTTCTTTTGCATATTGTACTCTTAAACCACACTCCCCACCCAAATTTCTTCTCCACCCTCATCTTCCTTTTCCCTGGACTAACATCTACTGTTATCATGGAGCTTCAGGAAATAGCCTAGATGCCAAGTGGTGGTCTACTCATAACAAAATCTTTAGAGGTACATTTTTGCATTAGCCTTATCCTGGTTTCATTTAAACATGCCAAGTTCCAAACATCCTGGCCTTGTTCGGATGATTTTTAGCTGCATAACTGTGGGATAATTCCCTATTAAATTCTATTTTTTTTTTAAGATTTTATTTATTTATTTGACAGAGAGAGAGAGGGAACACAAGCAGGGGGAGTGGGAGAGGGAGAAGCAGGCTTCCCACAGAGCAGGGAGCCTGATGCGGGGCTCGATCCCAGGACCCTGGGATCATGACCTGAGCTGAAGGCAGACGCTTAACGGCTGAGTCACCCAGGCGCCCCTTAAATTCTATCTTATTAGACTTGACACATTGTTCCAATCTTTGAAAATATTTTTGGACCCCGGCTCTAGCATCTTAAAGTATAAGCTATTCTCCCATATTTGTCACCATCAGATTTCTTCAGGATATCACTTATAACAATATTGTACTGAGTGAGGCAGAAGGTAGATTCCTGGGGCAAGTCACTAGTGACCTCCATCAAAACTGAAATGGATCCATTTCAAGACTTTTGGGAAGTGATTGTTCAACCAGCTACAAATCAATCGAATTTGCCCTACACCTACCCTCCAACTCTCCATGAATCGACAAGGACACTATAAAAGATTTTTGTCTAATGCCAGGCTGAAATTTACATGCATTGCCTTGACCCTCCAGCCCAACCATGCTGTCAAACAAAGAAATGAAACTCTGCTTACACCTCACAGTTCATGTTTTCTTTGGCACCTCTCTTTTACCAATTCTGGACTTTTCCTCCTGGTCTAAGGCTCAACTAACATCAGTCGCTGGCCACAACTAGAAGTTTGCTTTCTCCTTTTTTACTGTAACTGTACAATACAATTTCATCTTCCTAAATGTATTATACATGTAACTGAAAAGTTGTGAATCAATTGTGATAATGTGAATCAAATTTTAAGTATACAATGAACTGTTCATTCAATCAATAAGGTTATTGAT